CTGAAGTCTGCGTAACTGCTAGCATATCAAATATTATAAACCAAACAGACGGATGAGTTATTTGATGTTATTGTCTCCAGGAGGAAATTGTTGCTTCACCTAAACTTTAGCAGTAATTAGTGCCAAGTGAATTCCTAAAGGCATATTTGAAAAGTTATAGGTTAATAAATAAGCACCACTACATCACCGTTCTTCAAGGCCCTCCACTTTTAATTCTGACTTTGCTGTTTTAAATTATACCTGTCATTCTTCAAATAAATGTATATTAGTATACATTGCTGATAAACCCTCCATATTCATCAGACATAGAGAAACTCCCTAATGTTTTGCTGACAAATGATTCGTTTTCAGCATTCCCCGATAAAATCACCTGACAGGTCACTGAGTAGAAAGGGCCCCTTCTCCCTTAGCTTTCCTATTTAAGTAATTGTGTATGATCATTAACTCTAAGCATATTTATCATTAGGTCATATGACTGGATTAAATTCCAGTGTAATAGAAGGCATGCTAAGAAAAATTGACTTTGGAAGTCATGGCGCCAGGTAGGAACATGTTGCAAAAGGAGTTGCAAATGCTATAATTTTCATGTTTCTATTGAATACAGTAAGAGTTCTCTATGCTTTGCAAGGGATCAAAGCATAACTATGGTCACCTTCTTCTTGTATCCTGTGCTCTCTCACTTACATCTTAAATCTCTTCCTCTCTACTGTCACCTTCCCCTCCCCTCTAAAGCATGCACAGATCATCCCCATACATAAAAACCCACACGGTTCCCCATCAACCTGAAAAACTTAAGACCTATCTCCTTGCTCCCATTCACCTCTAAACTTATAGAAAGCTTAGTCTACAACTGTCTGAGCTCCTGCCTCACTGAAACAACCTTCTTGACCCACTACAGTCTGGCTTTCGCTCAAAGCACTCCACAGAAACTGCCCTACTAAAACTCATTAACGATTTACTAACATAACAACAATGGCCTCTACTCCATACTCTTACCACTAGACTTCTCTGTGGCCTTTGATACTGTTGACCATCCTCCTTCTCAATAAACTCCACTCCCTTGGCCTCCAAGATTCTGCTGTTACCTAGTTCTCCTCCTATCTATCACAGCAGTACTTCAGTGTTACTTGCAACTCTGTCTCCTCCCCTCCACTTCCTCTCTCTGTAAGGGTCCCCCAGGGCTCTGTTCTTGGACCCCTTCTCTTCTCTATCTACACCTCATCTCTTGGTTACTTGATAACCTTCCACTACTTCCAATACCATCTCTACACCGATGACCCAAATCTATCTCTCTACTCCTCACCTTATTTCTTCAGTCTCTTCTCGCATTACTAACTTACTAACTGACATATCAACATGGATGACTCACCACTTCTTCAAACTGAGTCTCTATATAAAACTGAGATAGTAACATTCTCTCCTGCTCCTGCACTCCCCCATGACTTTTCCATCAAGATCAACAATACAACTATCAGTCCCTCCCTCCCACACACCATTTTACTAGGCGTAATCCTAGACTTTGACCTGTCCTTTCGGCCCCAAATCCGATCGCTGCTAAAAGCTTGTAGACTTTGCTTCAGTAATATCTCTAAAATTGGCCCTTTTTTAACTAAAGAAACCACCAGGCAGACAAACTACCAACCATTCACTCCCTTGTTATCTCTCACCTTGACTATTGCAACGCCCTTCTCTTAGGCCCACATCTACACAGGATACACAGGATATCGCCCTTCAATCTATCATGAATGCTGCTGTCAGACTCATCTACCTTACCAACTGCTCAGTGTCTGCCACCCCTCTCTGACAATCCCTCCACTGGCTTCTGATTGCCTAACAAATTAAATTCAAAATACTAATAACAACATATAAAGCCATCCACAACTCTGCCTTAAGCTGCATCACCAGTCTTGTCTCCAAATATCAATCAAACCATCTTCTCCACTTTCTACTTCTCCCAAGACCTCCTGCTCTCAAGCTATCTTGTCTCCTTCTCCCAGACTCATCTCCAGGACTTCTCCGGAGCCTCTCCCATCTCCTGGAACTCTCTACCTCAATCTGTCCGGTTATCCCCTACTTTGTTTCCCTTTAGGAAATCCCTGAAAACTCATCTCTCCAGGGAAGCCTATCTCTCCTCCAACTAACAAATTAACTTTTATCTTTTCCATCAGCTCATCCCCCACCATTATAACCTTTGTACCACTTGACCCACCTTATCAGTTTATAAGCTCTTATGAGCAGGACCCTCTTAACCCTTTTGTATTTTATTGTATTGTAACTGTACTGTAACTGCACTGCTCAAATTGTTAGCACTATATAAATCCTGAAGATTAATAATTTTGAAAACTAATAAAAGGTATACATTTCATAAAATGCAAATCAAAACTCAACTGTTTTTAAGTTACTTGAATTCATTTTTGTGTAAAAAAAAAGAACTTTTGGTGACATTTTAGACATTACAATGATATCACAACTTGCTTAAATGTGCATCATTCAAATTAATTGAGTCACAGAAAGAGCCCTACAAACTAACTGTAAAGGATACATTTGTGGTTATTTAAAGTGTAATTCCAGTCAAAACCCAACTAAGCTGAAATCAACCCCCATTTTAAGCTTATTCTATCTACCCTTTACAAGGAAAGATGTCCAAATATTCTGATGTCACTCCCGTTTAGACCTCTTTCCTTTCACATGATAGATAGAATAGGCTTAGAAGGTGGGAGTTGGTTTAGGTTTAGTTAGGTTTTGACTGGAATTACACTTTAAGGCATCCAAAGACACCATACAACAGCAAATATAAATGATTACTCTTGCCCTTTTTTTCCTTGTGCTTTGAAAGCTGCCATTACACACTAAGGCCAGTGTATATAAAAAGGAATTATCTGCATTGTCTGTGTTGTACTGCTGCAGATTAGGGCTGATAACAACAAAGACATCTGCTCCACATACCTGTTTATTTTCTAAAGGAGTAGAACATGTTCACTTTGCAGAGTGATGCATGCGTTTGGGCTGTTATCTTTATACTTACTGCACTACATAGTGAGTTTTTGACCAACATACAGTACGTTATTAACAAGGTTATATCTAAATGCTGAATTCTATTTTATTATTCTGTATCCTCTCCTTTTATTATATTATTTCTAACCTCAAACATTGTAAGTGGAAGTTCAGCTGTGTGCACAAGAACATAAGATGGTGAACTACTAACAGGCTCCTGCAACTCACCAAAGTGCAAACTTCTTTAGATCATGTGACCTACAACCACTAGCACCTTTAAAGTGCACCTGTGCCCAGACAATGTACAATAAAGCATTCACATATTTTCAACTGACAGTGACAACAGACCTTTGTAAAACAGAGTTGGGATTGATCGAGAATCTTTAGTCTGCAGTTTTCCAGCTTCCAGTTTTCCATTTATATATGCATTCAGGCACACATTTGGGAAATTCACTTGTCATAGAGTGCATGAACATGAACTCTTGTAGATGTACTGTGCACAAAACTCGCAAGTCCACCCTACTGCTCCACACCAGTTTGCCATTCAATATCTCCAACTACATCATAATAATTTGTTGCTGTTCCTCACAGTGCCAAGCCAGTTCTCACAAACAACCTGTTTGTCTGCCAGGGAACAGCCAATAGCAAAAATAGGTTGAGCCATAGCAGCTCCTCTGCTATTAGTACAACCATTCTCATCTCACCAACAGCAAGGCAGTACTCTTCCATAATGGAATGTATGTTTGTAGCAACCCCTAGCAGCAGTTGATAAGCCACATCAAGGGGCCTACTCTAGATGGGACATAGAGAAGTTGGGCTACCACTACTGTTAGAAAAAGGTGAAAATACCAAGCGCAATGAGGCTCCAGGGGATATGTAGATAACCATAGTATGGGTAGCTCCAACAACGCATCCAATCGGCAATGAGACATGTGCACAAAACAACAAATAAAGGAGCACTCCCAACTCTGTAGAAATCAATAAAGTCACAAGCCCAGGAGAAACACATATTCCCAGGAGCTGGAGGATGACACATGATCCTGGACCTAACAGTAGGTTGCTCAGCCCAGGAGCCTCAGGACAGTGGGAAGGGTGTGTGGATGGCAGCCTCCAAGATCACTACAATGGCGCATCTGCCAAAAGTCATGTGTCCCAGATCCGGTTGTAATGTCAAACACCTGGTGGGAGACTGCCCAAACAAGGGCTGGTGTGGGCAAACTGGAAGCCTAGGGGAGCACTCAAACCAAAAGAGAGAAACCGGTCATCATGATAACATGTTTCAGGGACTTGCCTCTTCCTCAGGTCATGTCATGCCATGATCCCACCCAAGTCCTCCGCATATGCCCTCTCATTTATTTTTTTAGTTTTATATTAAATATGCAATTATTACATCTTCACTACAGTCATGGGACAAGCAAGATCCTCTTCTTCCTTTTCTTTCCTCCTCTTTACTCTTGCATAGAACATCAAGCACATAATGATGTGTGAGCACAATTCTGTGAAGAAATACTGTAAGAAGTGGATTCAATGGCACTGGACAGAATTTAATCCAGGAGAACAATGGCCAGAGAGGGACAAAGCTGAGAGTCAACAGGAGACAGAGCCAGGAGGGAGGTGAATCTGTAGATGGGCCTTTAAACTGTGTTGTTGCTATGCATAGGAAATGCTCTTTTGCAAGTGCTGACACCATTACCAGCAATGAACAGCAGGAAATCAATGCATTAGGCACCACAGCAACAAAGTAGGAAACATCTTGTCCTTTGATTTTAGTCCCTGGCAGCTGCTGAAGGACTTACTTTAGCATATGATTTGATTCAGTGTTGCGTGCATAAGCCCAGGAGATGAGGGTGGCTTCCTGTCTCTCAGATGAGAAAGGAGAATAATTCAACTGTGAGATGGGGAAACAGCTCTCATTGTTTGAATACTGCTTGTGTGGAGTAAATTAAATGTTTTGACTGACATTCTGCAGTTTAGCCACAAGATGTCACTGTTTTCCTAACACAGCCTCAGACTGCATAGATATTTCTATATTCATGAAGAGGTGGAGTTTTCACACAGAGATGAGAGGGAACAGGAAGAAGAGAGAGGAGCCATGTTCTGGAGAATGGTGAATGAGGGGGGCCGTGTGAGCTGAGAATCTGATGACATCCAGGTGTGAGTGCATCCCTCCGTAACCAGAGCTGCGGCTAAGTGAAGCTGATGAGATTGCTGCCAGGAAGCTGATGAGATTGCTGCCAGGAATGCTGATGAGATTGCTGCCAGGAATGCTGATGAGAGCAGAGGAACTAAGCAACATATACGGCGAGACCGCATGCTTGTTGGAGAGACATTTGTTCTGTTCATAGTCACCAGCGGATGAAAAGCAGAGCTGGGTCGGTAAGATCGTGCACGCACCTCATTTCAGTGTTTTGGCGCCTTGAGACTGAGTCCAGGCCTATAGTTAGTTAGGGTCCCTGTTTGTGTCAGGCCACAAGTGTTGTTACTGATCATTGGAAGGACTCCACAACCTAAAGTGACAATTCACATTGGAGAGCTGATAAAATCCTACAAACTCAAGCCAGACTGGCGGTTTGCGCAGAAGGAATACTCAGGTACGTGCTACAGGACCAGTTATGGGAGGGGGAATACTGTAGATTTGTGTAAGATTGTAAGCTGTTGTGCTGCATTGCAGGCTAACCCATACCATACACCCATACACTGATTCCTGCTCTTTAAGGGTAATAACGGGTAAGGTGTGGCAGCTTGGTTGTGCCCGCCAGTAGGTAAATTACTACTTTTTCTACCTTCATCATCAGAAGGCGCCGTGCTGTGCAGCACAAGGGTCTCAGCCTTTGGGCTGGGTGTATGTAAATTTATTGTATGTTCTCAGCAATTGTGGTTGTGTTTATTTGCCGCATCTAAGTAAAATTCTGTTGTGGCAAAAGCTGGTGTTGGGGTTGCTTTCCTTGTTTGTGACTTCACTGTATCCTGGAGAGCCCACCCCGGTACACGGCCTACACAACAGTGGTCTGACGTCCAGGCAGGTTAGAAAGCATGGTACGATCCATGTTTGCTTGTTTATGGAGTGCTATAAAAACACTGATTTTAAAAATAATAAAATACATTATTTCAGGCTTTTCAAAGAAGAGCTAAGCTACAATACTATTTGTGGAGTGCTATAAAAACTCTGATTTTAAAAATAATAAAATACATTATTTCAAGCTTTTCAAAGAAGAACAAAACTACAATACTATTAGGTTGTGCTGGGCCCCAGGTTGCAGCAATTGTCTGAATCTTGTTCTGTTTTCTGGTCTGCTTTGTGGTATTGTTAGGCCCTTTAACTGAATTAGGTCTCCAACTTCAACAGAAATGTTTCTCACAGAAAACCTGATCCCAATGTTATGCTATGGACATAATAATGCAAACACTGCCAAGATGTCTTCCAGGTAGTCCTTCCTCTCTAGTACTTATTTACCTACCTTTGCTTCACTACAGACACATTGTACTATTTAATTTATGATAAGGAAGGTTTTGTTAGGGCTACAGGAATCTGTGGAAGGTGCAAGTGGAAAATGGGATGATGCCAGGGGCCTGTGGATAATTCTGGAATGCTACAGGAGATTCTGGTAAATGTTCTCAGTGGGATCTATCTCGTGGCTACAGCTTCAAGACAGTTTTTAGATAGCTACAAGGGAATCTGTAAGTGGTAGTCAGCGGTTTAGAAGACTATGGAACTGTTACAGGGGCTTTTATAGATGGCTATGGAAAGTTACAGGGGGCCTACGGCTACAAGATGGTCTATGTGAATAACTGCATGGGGGATTAGGTAGATAGCTGCTGATAGGTTATGTGTACATATACTGTAGATGGCTGGTTGGGCTATATGTATGGCTGTATAGTATTTTTTTTTTGTTAGGGCTTGGTAAACATGGCTGTATTCGCAGTATTTTTTTTTTTGTTAGGCTAAGGTAAAACAACTTGTTATGGGGGTCCTCTTTTATGCACCTAATTATGTACAGGATAAAAAAAACCCTCCTGTGTGAAATTGTTGCCACTCAGCAGCTAGCATAAATGAAAGTTAATCTGTAACACATTTATATATAAGAAGAGGATCAGAATTCCCTCCTGAAGGAGCAAGGGATGAATTTGACTTTGTACTTCAATCTCCCATGCAATACAGGAGACATAGTAAATAAATATGTAGAGATTAAGAAATAGCACTGAATGTGCATCACTATCATATTTCAAAAAAAATTTTTACGAAAAAGTGAATTTATTGCACACAAGAAATCAAAATAAAGCATTCCAAACAAATTTATCAGCTTATCTGGTTAAAAGACAAATAATCAATATGTAGAGCTTACCTTTTCATCAAAATAATTTTTAAAGCTTTAAAATCCAATACAGATGAGTGACAACTTTCAGCTTCCAGTACCCCAGCAAAGCTTAGAAAATGATTGAGCAGTCTATGTACATGTGTATATTTTCCCCTTACGAACCAACCATTGAGAAGTTTAAATATGAAGGTTGCCATTGTTTATCTCCTTAAAAAATGCTAGCTGAATAGTAGAATTTGACTAGAAATAATTGACATACAGTGCAGAAATGAACACATGATTTTACATTTTGGTCAAAGGTACACTTTAAATAAACCCATGAAGGCACATTGTTGTAGATTTATAAAATATGTCATTGATTTTAAAACTTTCACATGCAACAGGTTTTCAAATAGATCATGTTATAACAAAAAGAAGTTTTACCCTTTTATATTATTTTACTAAGTGCAAAATCAAAACAAATGTAATATGTTGATACACAGATTTATCTTTCTACTTGCAATCTGTTTTTTCAGATAGGCAAGTATACTGTGATAGAACTCAGACTTTTCAGCCATCTACTATTTTTAGCTATGCTCATTCACCCAAAATCTCACTAGCAGCAATTTAATAGTATGCTATTACGGCAATAAGGGGCATTTACAAGAGTCAGAATTAATGCCAAAACAGGAGGCTGACCTTTACAGCAATACAATGAACACTGTCCTCTGAATTTAAGTGTCATTGATGTTAGCTAAATCCCAGTGTAAGAACATATAATTTTACATGAAAATGTCAGAGTTCATTGTCACAAACTGCATTATTACTACACATTTAATGAAAAGAACACTTTGCTAGCATTTTAAACATTGCGCTGAAATATAGCATGTACGTTTCTGACATTTCAGTTTCAATAGCAACTTATTTGGAACACTTTCAGTTGGCATTAGTAGATTATAATGATCTGAAGGTATATCAAAATGGTGTGCACATTACCAGTAGATTCTTTGTTATAAAGTAAACCTCAATTTAATGGCATAAGAAACGATTGATGATTTGCATATTGATTAACTTTGATAAACAATTGCAGAAGGAGCAAGAGTTGAGTTTCACTTTGTACTTCAATCTACCATGCAATACAGGAGACATAGTAAATAAATCTGTAGAGATTAAGGAATATCACTGAATGTACATCACTATCATATTCAGTTGGCATTAGTAGATTATAATGATCTGAAGGTATATCAAAATGGTGTGCACATTACCAGTAGATTCTTTGTTATAAAGTAAACCTCAATTTAATGGCGTAAGAAACTATTGATGATTTGCATATTGATTAACAATTGATAAACAACTGCAGCTACCAATACATGACATATAGGTCTGACATGAAGAAAGAAATCCATCCACCTGAGCATGACTGCTCTAGTATGTGAACAAGCATGATCAAATGCCAGCTTCATGTACTTTTCTCTCAGAGTAGAGGTTTACTTGGAACAAATAAGCCGAAACACTGTACATACTACCAAATGCTTTTATCTACTAACTTTGCGACATATTTGTCAAATCAATGATTCCTAACAGGTCCTTTTCATTTTTGGGGTTTCCCTAATTTATGGGAGAGTAAATCTTGTCATTAGATCAGTATTTATCACAAATAAATAGGAATTGGGTCTATGTGACCCGCTTGTACCTGAATGGAAATATAAAAGTCTGTTCTAGTTACACGAGGGGTTAATTTATGAAAACTAAAATAACAAACACATATAAAAGGAAGATATGTATGCCAATAAGCAATCAGGTTTCAGTCTTTATATGATAAAGAAAGTGGAATCTGGAAAGTTGCTGTTGTTAACAGGTGAACAATTGCTGCAGACTAGCAGTCCGTAAACTATGGTATATGTAGTGTTTCTCATTGTGTGCTAGAGATGTCTATGTGCAGATGGCAGGTACTGGCATGTAGAGCATTCTGGCATCCAACAATCTGTTACAGTCAATCTGGGTGAAATGATCTCCTGCCCAGTGATACCTGCATAGTCCTAGGCAGACATCATTATGAGAAGCTGCACAAGACTTTGCACAAAGGTAAGTCCCATTGAACTCAATGCTAGGGGGGAAACATACAGGATCCAACTGGCAAAAATGCTGGAGGAAGGACATTCAGGACCCCACTGACACCTAATATGGAAGGGGTGGGGGGCATTCAGGGTTACATTGAGCCTTATAGCGGGGAGGATTAATAATCCCACTGACCGCCAATGTTGGAAAAAGTTTCCTTCCACCTTACTCCCACTGATGCTGGGGAGCTTATCACTTTCACTAATGCAACTCCAACTCCTCCTATTACGCCAACTGACCTCCTTAACAGCGGTATATTTTACTCCCGCTGACCACTGATGCAGGGGATCTATTGCTCTCACTGATACAGGGGCATTTTTACTATCACTAACCCCTGATGTTAGGGCACATTTTACTGCTAGTGGTCACAGTCTGACCTCTAAACAGTGTGATGGAGAGTAAATTGGCCTTTTGTTTACAAAGTATGTGGTTAGGTCAGCAGGAGAGGGCAAAAGAGGGCACTTATCCTTTAAAACAAATTGTCACTCATCTTTATCTATAAGCACTGTGGTGAAATTTCATTTTCAAAGTCTAGTACATAGGTACTGAAATCTTATTTTTTCTGAATATTAGATCTTGGCAGGCTGCCAGTCTTCTAATGTAAGCAACCAGCAGATGTTTCAATTTTAAAAGCTGTCAGAAGCTACCTAAGGCCCCTTTCATAAGGGGTGGACCCGTCAGCTGAACCACCTGCTCAGCAGGGGATCTCCGCTGATCCCTGCTGAGCAGGCGGATGACAGGTCTGTGTCTGCTCCGCTGCTGCAGAGCGGACACAGAAATAGCCTACTATTTGCTAAGGGGTGGTCGAATGGAAATTTACCGCCTGTCCGTTTTCACCTGACTGTTAACTGATCTGTTCCACTAGACGGATGAGGAACGGATCCCCATCCATCTGTTTTTAACATACAGGATCGGATGTTCACTGACACCCGCTGCTCCATAGAGAGCTATGGAT